CCACCACTGGCTCACACTGATGGGGTTTTTTTTCTCCAAGATGTATGTTATTTAACTTGTTGTTGCTGTCACTGCTCTGTGTTTTTGTTTTTGGTGTTTCCTTGATGTCCTTGTATAGGAGCACACATGCAAATAAGCATTTCACTGCACTTGTCTGCCTGACAATAAACTCTACTACTCTACTCAGTTTAAAGTAGACCTTAACAAAAGTGCGAGTGTTTAACTCCTTGAGTGCAGAGATTGGAAGGAACTGGGCTTGAATGCACGCACATGGGTGGTTTACAGTAAACGCACTGTACACTGAATGAATCCTTGGGTGCCGACTGTCTTCAGATACAAGTTCATTGCTGTATTTGTGCCCCCAGAGCCGGGGTACTGGTTGTGCCTTTACACCAGAGCTAGATCAACACCTCAGCCTCCGTGCCGATTGACTTTGTTGGAGGCAGAGTTGCGTTGTTCCTGTTGTCTTACTGATCTGGGTCTGCGTGTCTGCATCAGGCAGAGACATTTTCACTAATTGACCTAAGGGGGAACTTGAGTCAGGGTACGTTATACCCACCTAGAGTGGAATTCATCCAGGAGGATCTATCCCACTGGCATTAACATCACTCCTCTTACAAACAGTGCCATCTTTTATGCCCAAGAAGTACAATATTACATATCTAATTGACAGTGGCTTCTACAGAACAGTGACCCCCCCGCAGTAACCATACTGGGCCACTGAGGAATTTATTTTACTTGTATGTAAAATTGTATTGAAGCCAGTGAACCTCTTTTTGGAAGCGCCAAAGCATTTTCTACAAAAACACATTCGCCCCTGCCTAGGAATAGAGCTTTCACTGAATTGTCTTCCTGGATATCGTAATGGAGATGTTTGCTGTTCGGTTAACACAGCGGTGACCATCTCACAGTGGGGACTTGTATCTTTTTTTTTTTTTGGTTGCACTTGTCTCTTTCTGTAAAAAGAAAATGTTCTCGCTTTACAATGACGTTACGCGGGCGACCAGCGAAAGGCGAGACGACCCCTTTTTTCGACCGGTCAGTCGTCGCAGTACGTGGTGGTCCGGCCGCAGGGCC